AAAAAGAATACCTTTATCAGGGTAAAGTTCACGTTCCTTGTCTATTAAAAACCAGTTAAAAGTGTTTTCTAAAATGATATATGGAAGGGAACAATTGCCATCATGTGCTATGTGGTTCCCAGCTCTGCAGGGTGTCATGGTGTGATGTTTCAGAGCAGTCTGCAGGCCGATATGCAGATTACACATGGGACTTTACCACCAGGCACACAGGTGCTGCTGTAAGCTGTGAGCCCCTAGGTCTTGGCTGTAAAAGGAGATGGCACATGAAGACGTTCCTGGTACAAGGTCACAAGGTACCAGACCACCTGAGAGTGCAGCTGTGGGACAGGCCATGGTGGTGGCAAGGGATGGTGATAGCATTTTAAAAGGCTGATTTTTCTTAGCGGACTTTCAAGCTGTATTAAATTTGTATTACTGGCTTCTCTCACTATACTATACCACGTCTTCATTTTCAGATTTTTTTTTTTTTTGGCAATATTTTTTTTTCTTGATTTCTCTCACTTTCAAGTACTTCTTAAAATTTAAGTGCTTAAAAATAAGAGTTATACATTAGTAGAAAATAGTGATCACAAATTCAAATGCCCCAAAGAAGCAGCCTGTTAATGTAAACTGTCCTGGTATTGATAACCAAAGGCTACTGCTTGAAAGCCCTAGGTCTGGGACCCTCAGGGCCCGGCAGGGATAGGGGCAAAAGGAGCACACACACTAGTTGATTGCTACTAAGAATCCAACATGTCAGGATCTACAGGTTTTCAAAAGTAGTCAGAAGTCTGCAATTTTTTTATATGAAAATTTTCATTAAAAATGCTCATTCAGCCAGGCATGGTGGTGCACACCTATAATCCCAGCAACTCAAGAGGCTGAAGCAGGAGGGTAACAATTTAAAGGCCAGCCTCTGCAACTTATGGAGGACCTAAGCAACTGAGAGAGACCCTGTCTCAAAATAAAACATAAAAAAGCTGGGGATGTGACTCAGTTATAAAGTAGCCCTGGGTTCAATCCCCAGTGCCCCAAACAAATAAACACTGATACACAGAGAAAATGTGGTCAAAAGAACATGGTTGTGGGACCAGGTGGGGCCTGTGATTTGGAAGGCTCATGTAGTGACACTGAACTGCAGGTGGATCCACACAGGATCCCTGATAAGGCAGGTAGCATTAGGGAGGTAAAGGTGAATTGCCAAGGAAGTGAGAGGAGCCTGAAGGACTACATGCAGCAGGTGAACGGGGGAGGTTCTATAGAGAGGCATTTGAGTTGATGCAAAGAGGACAGTTCTCATTTCAGCCCAGCTGCTGAACGCTTACCATGAAACCCAAACAGCTGCTAATGTCCTGCTGCCTTGTACAAACCCCTCCATGCACCCCACCCACCTGGGGCTCTCTCCAGCATCATCACTGCTCATGCATGGTCCCTCTGCTACAAGTCCCACAGGCCAGGGTCTTGGCTGCTTCACTCCTTGCTGTGCTCCAAGGCAGCACTGTGCCCTGTGGTCTCTGGGGCCTGATACTGCCCAGCCCTTTGGGGTCTGTTCTTGGCACAGGCCGATGCTGCTTCCTCTCCTTCACACTTCCACCTCTCCCTCTTCCTCTCCACTCTGGGCTGGTGCTGGTGTCCTTGAGCTGTCAGCCACTGAACACTGGCCTGCCTGTGTAGCTACCCTTTTCTCCTCTACCAGATAGACAGGAGCACCTCACCTTTGGATGAAGGGCTCTCCTCCCTTCCCACATATCCTCATTCTCTTCTCGTTTTTTTTTTTTTAAATTCATCTCCAACTGTGCTCAAAACTCTACAATCCTATGTACTTTTCCTCTTGACCTAACCCCTGTGCTCATGGTCACTCTCCCATAGCTGCACCTTCAGCCAGCTCTGCACTAAGACCTAGTCTTTTATGTCCAATTTGGGCACTGGACATGTCTGATTTCTGTGCCTTCTGCTGTGCTCACATATACTCCAGCAGATGACAAATCATCTGTCCCTCGCCAAAGCCCCGAGTCCATCTTCCTTCTTGGCTTCCACATCCAAACAGTCACTCATTTTAAGCCCCCTCTACCCATCTTCACCACCACTGTCACCTTTTCTCCAGCATGGCTTCTTTTTACATTCATTTTACAGACAGAATGGCTGATTCCACAAAAAGTAAGTCTTGTGGTTCAAGATCTGCTTACAACTGTTCCTTGTTTTTCCAGACCTCTTGAACAGGCTCAAACAGACATAGTCCAGACCGACCCACCCCTGAGCCCCACTCCAGTTGCTGCTTTCTCAAAGCCTTCCCCCATCACAACCTCCAACTACTTTGAACTCCTATTTGTTTATTCCATTTGTTCCCTGTGCCACCTCATGGGAACTACATGGGGTTCAGAGGGATGCAAGGAGCCAGCTACAGTTGATTTCTGGGATAATGGAGTGAGGCAGCCATGGTACCAGATTCTCCACTCAGGTCTGTCCAGCAGTGTCTGCTAGTCAGGATGGTTTTTTTAAACCAACGTGTCTGCCCATGACAGTCAACTGGCACTCAGTACTACTCTGCTGCCCCCATGGGCCTTCTGGAATCACTAATGCCAAGAGTGAAAAACAACACTGCACTCTCACAGGTGGGATTCTGGATGACAGGTGCCATCTATAAGATGACTGATTAGCCAGAGACTATCCTTAGTCTTGTCTTCATGGCATGTTTATAAAATTTAGGGACAACAAAAAGCTAGAAGGAACATCTATGGTGCTGTAGGCATACAGAATCAGGGTTCAAAATGCTCTCAAGACACTGGAAGCCCTGATCCTGACAGCTGGCCAGGGATGGAGCTCTTCACTTGGGCTGAGCAACCATGCAGCAGAGCTGTTCTGAGGGAGAAAGGGAGAGTTGGCTTAATCACAGCCTTAGGAGGAAAGATGTGTTTTTAAATTCAATTTGATACATGTATGAAGATGTGAATTTGGTGTCAACATACCTTATAGATAATCAGAGATATGATAAATTATGGTATAATGGTGTATTAAGAATTGTAATGCAAAAATAAATAAATAAAAAATAAAAATAAATAAATTCAATTTGAGGAAAACTGCATGTGATATGGTTCAAAAAGCTAACAGAAACTTAGAATGCATTTATAGGAGTATGGTTTTGGGATGAAGAAGGTTATAATCTTGGCTAACTATGCACTGGTTAAAGTGTACTTAGAGCAACAACATCAGTTCTGGACAAGGGACTCAGGGAAACAGCTTCCCAGATGACCATGAGAAGGACTGAAAACTGTGAGTTTAAGGAAAGCTTTAAGGAGTAGAAACATCTCCTGGTTACAGGTCAGTGAAATGTGGTAATCAGTCAATTGCTACAAATTTTGCAGTACAGAAGAGAAATTAACTCTGGTATTGTTTCAGGAGACAAAACTATAAGCATAATTACTAAACCAAGAGAGAAGCTGACTCAGGAGCAGTCTAAGGAAGAGCACAACAGAGGCAAGAAACAAGCATACTGGGCATGGTGGGTGGAGCCTTGGCGGAGGTGCCTGATTCTTTACTAAGTTGGCAAAAGAGACTTCAGAATGCAACCAGGCCAGGAGCAGGATTATGTGCTTTCTAGTGCCTCCCATCTCTAAGAAGTTCTGAAATTTGGTGAGCAATCTCCTTCACTGCTTAGGCAGATTCCATGCCTAATGGACAGTGATACTTTGTACATAGGCCAATATTCCAATTAGAAATTTGGGACTATTGCAAGTTGTGCAGTTACGAAGTCCAACTGAATTTTATTTGCACCCCTTACAGGAAGCTTCCCTGAGTCCCTTGTGTCCAGAACTGATGTTGTTCCTCTAAGTACACTTTAACCAGTGCACAGTTAGCTGAGATTACAACCTTCTTCATCTCAAAGCCATACTCCTGTTTCTCTTTTCTACTGTAATTCGACAATATTGTAATTATCTCTGGGGGAAGGCTGAATTATCTCTTCATCTTTTCTTCCACTTGCACCATGAAGGAACTCAAAATACAAGTCTTAGTTTGATTTTAGGATCTTCAACTGAAATAAAAACATGACTGATACAACTGTCCATTACATTTTACAAAAATTGTTTTCAGTACGAACCACATATCAGAAACAACCGTGGAGCTTTAACACTACCAGTGAATTGGGCTTCATTCCAGACAGATTGAATTGCACTCTCTGGGACTGTCATCCCCTCCACCTCACCAAGTTCCCAGATAACTAACTCTAAGGAAAGCCAGGGCTAAGAACCACTGGCTTATCTGAGAGAGTTGAAGACTATTATTTCTAAATTAACACAAACTAATACAATGGGCCCCAACCCTTTCTGAAGAGGACATGGGTCTTCTTTCCTCTCCCATCTTATGATCATGGCTTGCTGCTGACATTGAGGGGGGTTTGGGTGTGTGGCATGGGGGTTGACCTGAACTATCTGCACAGCACATGTTAGAGGAAGCCTTTGTGATTATGATAAGACGGATTATTTAAAAAGGCTTAAAAAACTGGGCAAAGGCCAAATAACATCTTCTGAGAGTGTGCCTATGCAAACTTAGTGACTGATAAAGACCAGAACATTTCTGATTCTCAAAGCATGAACATGACATAAAACATTGGGAAACCTCTAAAATGAGGTTTAGGAAGATAGGAAGTAGCACTGAACATACACGTATGAGGCTAAAATGAAAAAAGAATTCAAAATCGTTCCTGTAACAAGATACAATCTATCCAACAGTTATATAACTTATGAGGAACCCAGACAAATCAAAAGAGTCACCACCTGAATATAACTTCACATAAGTGCCCTCTGGTAATCTGAACAAGAAAGGGAACAGCTCTATACCTTCTGTGCATAGAAAGCACAAGGGGATCCTGCCTTATGTATTCTCTTTGGATGATATTCAGGTATGATGCTACAAGGCCAGGGCACAAAGTGATTTCACTGTCACCTGCTATATGACCACTATACATAAGTAATGAGAATAAACTACTTTTGTACTTATAATGCAGCTTACAGCACCTTCCATACCTGGCCCAAGCAATGGTGACCGATTCAGCTGTGTGCTGGCCTGGTGCGGGGGTGGTGTCCCGCCCCGGTGTGCAGGGTTGCTTGTGGAGGAGGGGGTGGTGGTGGTGGTGGTGGTACTGCTCTGGATAACTGGGTTGTTTCTATCCCACATGTTTACAGTTTTATTGTTGTAGTTGCTTGGGTCCCCCCAAGCTGAGGTACCGTCATCAATTTCCATCTTTCGTCGGATGGACGGTGGAGAGGGTTCTTCCCAGCCAGTTGCCTCACTGCTGTCCTTCTGCTTGACTGGCACTGGGCCTCCAATCCAGCCTGTCCCTGTCTGTTTAACAGAAGCAGCTCCTCCCCAGTTACTCACATTGTTGTCTTGGGACTTGTTTGCCCAGTTCTGTTGGGGACCAGGTTTTAGGGACTCCCCCCAGTTGGTACCTGGATTCACCTTTGTATTTGTGCTGCTGCCCCAGCCACTGGTCCCAGATCTTGTGGCATCATTCCAACCAGACCCTGATCTATTACTCTCAGCATCCCATCCAGAGCCATTTTTCTTCCCATCCCCCAGGTGTCCAAGGACAGATGATGAATCTGCCCAGTCTCCCCCTCCTGCACTCCAGGATGGATTTGATCTTTGTCCATCTCCCCAGTTTTGGGATTTGGGTTTTTGAGGCTCACCCCAGGTGGGTGACTTGTCCTCCTGATTCACGGTCCCACTCCAAGCATGGCTGCTCTTGGCAGCAGCAGCATTATTAACAGCAGTAGAGCTTATCGAGTCCCCCCAGACCCCAGGGCCACTTGGTGCTTTGTTGTTGCTGTCTCCCCAGCCTGTGTTTGCTGGCACAGCAGCAGGCGGTGAGCTGGCCCACCCCGATACTGAAGAGGTATTTGTACTGTTCATGATGGACCCATCGTTCTTCCCCCCTGAGTTTGAAGACTGAGTAGCTGCACAACCCCAGGCCTCTGTCCCATTGTCATTTTTTCTTTCTGACCTAGGGGATTCTTCAAATTCCCAGGCAGTGTTTTGCTTTACAGGAGTCTGTCCCCAACCAGTGTTGGACAGAACCCTTGGGTCGAGATCATTCCTTGGCAACTGGATATGTCCCTGGTCTATCACCCCTTTATCCCGCCTCCGGCCCTCTCCTGCTCCTTCCCTCCCAGGGCCTCCTTCATTGTGATTGCCAGACCCATCACTACTCCCTTCGCTGGCTGTAGTTCCAGAAGATGCAGCTTTGGCCCAAGAGTTCACATGTTCACTGCTAGGCTGCAAGGCAGGAGTCTGGCTGGCAGAGGTGGGGCCATCCCAGCCTCCTGGTCCTTTCCCACTGATGTCACTACTGGAATGCTGGTTTGGGAGCTTTCCCCACTCCCCATTCATACCATTAGAGGAGCCTCGGCTGGGGTGGCCCCACGCTCCTGAATGGATGTTACCAATGCCACTGCTGCCACTGCCCCTCCCCCAGGCAAGTACCCCTGGACCTGCAGGAGGTCCCGAGTCCCAGGCGCTCCCTCCCCGTTCTTCCTTTTGCACAGCACTGCTGGATCCATTTTGTTTAGCACTTAATGCTGAGTTCACAGTGTCTGCATTCCCCTGACTGAACCCAGAACTGCTATTTGCTGTGGCAGGGTTACTGGGGGTCAGTCCCCACACAGAGTTGCTTATCCCTTCGCCCCCACCCCCACTGCCTTGAGAAGCCGATGATCCATTAGCACCAGGAAGGCCTTGCAGATGGGGAGGGAGGATGGCCCCCATGCCCACAGCCACGCCCCAGTTGGGCAGTCCATTTGTCTGCATTGCATTGACAGGGTTTGGTGAGGAGCTCATGGGGTTAGTGTTATTTGGTCCATCAGTGTTAAGGTTCTGAGGTTGTAGGCTGAAAGACACATTCTGAGACGTGGACGTTTGTGGTTCTGTGCTCTCTTGTGGCAGCAAGTTTCCCCACGCACCTAGAGTGCCTGTTGGATTCCCATTCTGGCTGCCCATATTCTGACCTATGGCACTGACTGGACTGCAAATACTGGAAGGGTTGCCTGTGGCCACAGTTCCTTCATGCCCCAGTACAGGCCAGGCAGCTGGGTTGGCATTAGGACTAAGGTTAAGGTTAATGCCGGCACTGGAGTTGGAAGCACCCCAGCAATTCTGACTTCTCCCATCGCCAATCATGGTGTCCATTTTCCCATCCCCACCACTGACACAGCAGTGAGCCAGGCCAGAGCTGGAGCCCGTGGCTACGCCCCACGCTCTGCCTGTGCCTCCACTCCCGTTAGCTCCTGCTGCCCCAAGGGCACTCTGATGAGAAGGGCTTTGGACCAGTGCGCTGTTGGTGCCGTTATTGCCATTTGTCTTCTTGGTATGTCCTGTGAAGCTGCCCTGGGCACTCCCTGTAGCCATGCTACTGTTTTCTGAGCCACAGTTGGAGGCAGAGTCAGTGTCTGTAGGACATTCTGAGGCAGATTCAGTCTCTGTTCCTGTGCTGGAAGGCCACGCCTCCTGGTCAGTCCTATCTATTATCACTTTTTCCCAGCTGCAGTTGGCATCGCTTCTGTAAGAGGGCTGCTGTCCCCAGTGGGAATTTTCATAATGATCTGTCAGTCCACTGTGACCGAGATCTAAAAAAGATGAAAGAAAATTCAAAATTAGATTTTCCTCCCATTTGTTAATGAATCAACTGTCAAACAGTCTTTGGGGAAGTTCTTTCAAGTTTTCAATTCTGAATGACAAATGCTAAAAGTGACATTTAAAAAAAAAAAAAAGCTGTGTATCTTCTTAGTGGCTCCCAGTATAAAGAGAGATAATGTTTTTAAAATTACATTATTTCTCACCACCACATCATAATTTCACCCCCTTGCGCAGAGGCACAATGTATGGGAATGGCTTCACTTGAAAGTGGCAGCTCTGGAAATTTTGACCCTGAAACTCCTATGAACAGGTGGACTCTGTGGAGCACTGGCGAGGACGCTGTGTTCACATGGGCCATTGAGTACATCTTGTGGTGCTCCTCTTCCCGACTTCTAGTTAGTTATGGTATCCCTAGAAGCCACATGAAGCTCTTTCAGTGGAAGAACTGTAAATGCTTTGCAGAGTCACATAATAGCCAATAGTTTGGGGAGAGGGGAAGGCAAGGAGAGAGAAGACATATTAGAGAAAGTTACCTTCCGTTATCCAAGATACTAAGTGTTAGGAATGTTTAACTGTATTTACTACTTTATCTGGTCTAATCCGTAATTTGCTTTATCACTGTTTCTTGTGCATTAATTTAAAAAATTCTTGACTCTGCAATTGGTATCTTTTTGGATTTCTAGGGATTCCTTCTGAACTTGTTTTCTTTTGAAAAATGTTTTTATTTGTTCTTTTTAGATATACGTGACAGTAGAGTGAATTTTGATGTAGTATACATACGTGGAGTATAACTTATTCTAATTAGCATCCCATTCTTGTGGTTGTACATGATGTGGAGTTTCACTGGTTGTGTATTCATAAATGAACTTCTGTACTTATATTTTACTTTCTTATTTTATTACTCTGTTCTTTTGAGATCCTCAGGATAATTTAATATGCTATCTTCCTACAGTACTTATATATCATTTCACTCTTGTGATCCTCTAAAAGTATCTGTCATTTCATAACTGCATTTTATCTCCTGTGATTTTCTAATTATTTCCAATGTTGTAATCAAACTTACATTTCAATAAATTTTCTAGTAGGCTATTCAAGTATGTATTTCTAAAAAATAAAAGTAATGTTTGAAAATCATTAAAACAAAATGTACAACAAACACATGTTAGATATCCTTAGTGGAGTTTCTTTAAATACACTGTGAAATTTTTCCTTCTCTTTTAGATTCCTATAATTATGTTCTCTTCAAATTTATTTCAATTAGATCTTATCTGTGGAGGGCTGGTGTTGTGGCTCAGCGGTAGGGCGCTTGCCTCACACATGCGAGACCCTGGGTTCGATCCTCAGCACCACATAAAAATAAATAAATAAAGAAATAAAGTAAAGGTATTATGTCCAACTACAACTAAAAAATAAATATTAAAAAAAGATATTATCTGTGGCGAGTTAAAGCATGGTCTTCCCAAGGAAGTTCCCCTTTAAAAAGCTTGATGAAATTAGCTGGGAGTGGCCACACTGGTCACCCTAGCAACTCGGGAGGCTGAGGGAGGAGATCTCAAGTTCCAGGCCAGCCTAAGCAACTTAGCAAGACCCTGTCTCAAAATAAAAAAAAAAATGGGTTCAATTCCTAGCACCACAAAAAAGGGAGAAATAGTTTGATGAAACTAAAGGAAAAATAAGAAAGTATGTAAAAATGATCATACTTGCAAAAGATTATTCTAAAGTTGATATCAACCTTAAAAAAGAGAGCTTTGTTGCCTGATTAAAAGTAATATGATGAATTTAGAATTATGCTCCAGGTCATTCCAAAGTAGGTAGGCAATTCCAGGTGAAAATGAAAACAGGTAACAAAAAATTTTAAGTACCTAAATTCCTATAAAACAACCAGGCTTTCTCTTGTTAAATGTTAAGGGCCAACTCTCTTAACTCTGGTTTATGATAATTTCCCCTCTTGGTTTTGCATGTATTCTGAAAAACTAGCTTATGCAGTAACTAACTGAAAGGGATCAATGAGCCACTCATCACTAACACAGAAAGCAAGCCCAAGCTTCCAGACTGCGATCATGGCTTGTAGTCAGCAAATTCTGCTGGAGTTCATTTCATCATGTCCTGTTTCCCTTGAGGACAGGCTCTGCCTTGAGGCAGGCCACTTGCCTCTAAACTAGAACAGCAGGGGGTCAGCAACCTGGATTAGCCAGCTGGAATACACAGTACCACCATTTCTGTGCCATAACTGTTGCACTGTGGAACATGGGCCTTGCCTTAATGGTCTGCTTAGAGGATCTGTGTGAAGTGATGCCTGAGGCTCACTCAGTCCACATTTAGAGTGGTCATACATGGGATGAGTGACAGGCTGAAGAAGACAGCACCAGGCTAGCAGAGAGGGGAGGACCAGCTACTACTGAGTGCTGCTAGACAACTGCCTGCCCACATGCAAAGAAAAAAAGGAAATTCCCTTATTTAATACCATACACAAAAACACACTCTACATAAGTAAGACCTATTTAGGGGTGGTACCGTGGTGCACGCCGGCCATCTCAGAGTCTTGGGAGGCTGAGTCAGGAGAATCAGGAGTTTAAAATCAGCCTTGGCAACTTAGTGAGACTCTAAACAACTTTGTGAGACCTGTCTCAAAGCAGGTACTGCTTTTGAGAAAGACTGTCTCAATTCCTGGTACCCAAAACCAAAAACAAAAACCTGCAAAACCCTTTAAAGCTTAATAAGGAAATACAGGAAACTTATTTCTGGGACCTCTGACATTGTATCTTCTTACAGAAGACATGAAATGCATAGCCATAAAACATTGATAAATTTGGCTACATTAACATCGAAACATCTATACAACAAATGACATCATATACTGAAAAACAAAACATAAGCTACAGGCAGGTAGTAACAGATAAAGGACAATTTTCAGAGTAAAGAACTTTTATAAATCATTAAGAAAAAGGCCATAAACCTTACAAATAATGAAGAAAATCCAGGAACAGGCATTTTAGAGAAACAGTGACTAAAAATCAATCTGATCACTGGATCAAAAATCTAATTTCTCAGGGCAAGTTCCTCAAGGGTATAGATGGTACCTTCTTAGTTCTATATCCACAATGCTTGTCACATATTAGGTAACCAATGTCTCCTGGATGAACAAAGGCATAAACGTTTGAGACCAAATGCAAGTTCTTGCTAAGTAAGTCACTTCTCAAGTCTAAAAAGATAATGTTGAGCTATATTAATCCCTGAGATTCTTGGCTCTAAAACTTGCAATTTCTAGAGCTTACTAGAAATTGTATTCTGGTACAATACACATTAACATAAGAATCACATATACACAAATTCAAGCTGCATATTTGGTGTGGTCAATCTCAATTATGATATGAAATCAAAGATGTTTTTAATGTGATAAAATACACATTAACACAAAATTTACCATTTTAACCCTTTTTTGAGAACAGAATTCAATAGTATCCAGTATCACCAGCATCACCACCCATCTCTAGAAATTCCCCATTGTCCCATACTGAAACTGTACCCACTGATTCTTCTGCACCCACTCCTCCAGCCCCTGGTAACTCCCCTATTCTGTCCTCTGTGGGTTTGATCATGCCAAGCACCTCCTGAAAGTGGAACCACACAGCATCTGTCTTTGTGTCTGGCTTGCTTCACTTGAGTGGAATGCTTTGAAGGCCCACCCATGCTGGGGAATGAATTCGCTCACCATTTGCACTGGTGGTTGATCAATTCTCCATCGGGTAGACAGGCCACATTTTGCTGCTTCTCCCTTTTGGCCTTTTGAGAACAGGGGCTCTGAGCACTAGTGCACAAGGATCTGCTGCAGTCTCTGTTTTCATTCTTCTGGGCATCAGACTGTCCTCCACACCAACCGCACCACCCCATACTCCCACTAGCAACATGCTCTAATTTCTCCACATCCTTGACAATACCTGTTATTTAAAAAAAAAATTTTTTTTTTTTTTTAAATAACAGTCATCCTAGTGGGTGAAGTGGTATGTCACTGTGGTTTTGATTTTTATTTCCCTAAAGATTTATGGTATTGAACATCTCATGTGTAAAGCAAAGATATTTTTATAATCAAATTTGTTTATTCTGTTTAAAATGAACAGAGTCAAGAACCAGGAAATAGACTGTTCGCATGTACTGCTCTGGAAGGGCCCACCACAAAGGCAGCACACTTGTGTAATCCTTCCCAGGCTGAGGTGCACACCAGTGGGGAGGAACTGACAGGAAGCAAAGTCTCTTCTACACAGGGCAGGTGTGCAGGCATCCCCAACAGCCAACACCCAATAAGAGCAGGAGGAAGCCATACCTGTTGAGTTCACACATGGGCATCTCCAAAATCCTTTCACTAAAAACAAAACCCAACCCCCCCTCAAAACACCCTCTTGTCCAGGTGGCATGACGGCATTCCTGGAAGATTATACCAGCTTGCCCAGTCTCATTCCATTCCTGATCCCAACCGCTGTCTTCAGTGCTGCACCAAGATTCTTCTCCAAAGACATGGGTCCTGAGTGCTCACCCAAGCACTTCAAAGTCCGCCTCTCTTTTGAGGTCTCACATTGTGTCATTCCTTCCTTTGCTCTGGGCTCTAGCTCAGCCAGTTCCTCAAGGCATTGTTTGTACCCTGCCCTCCTAAGACAGGGCCATTGGAGAGCTGCCCCTGCCTGGACTCAAGATCTACTCTGCTTTCCTATCTCAACTCAGTGCACATCCACTTTGAGAGACTTTCTTTCTCCAATTAGGACCCTCTGCCATATTATTTTAGCCTTCCTTTCCTGTTAACCCCTTTTAGATCAGGTTGGCAACAATTGCTGCACAGGGTTAGAGGGTAAATATTTTATGATTCCTGGGCCACTGGTCTCTGTTTTGCTGTGGTGGTATAAACGCCACTACAGATAATGCATAAATAAACCATTGTGGGTGTGTGTCCAATGAAACTTTATTTTCAAAGACAGGTGGTGAATCAGAACCGGCTCAT